TAATTTCAAGAATCCCAATCAACAACAAATACCCAGCAGCTTGTATATGCTCTGTGCCTCTAGTTCCACCAACAATGACCTTGCCTTGTGCACATGGCTTTACCATGTCTGTTTACCTACTTTAGGTTTATTGATATGTCTTTTATACTTTGTAGTGTCTGATTGCTAATGCTGCCATCACAGTTTTATCTCTCTATTTTTAATGTTTGTATATTGAAAAACTCAATAAAATAAACAATTATTTAAAAAATAAGATTAATATTAAAATTACTTAGAATTAGTATTGATGTATTTAAACATTGTTATTTATACAGAAACTTTACTCCAATAGTGTCCTGCTGCAGAAACCTGTATATATTTTTGTGAAACTTTTCATTTGTAGTAAAACATTTATTTATTTATTTTACATTTCACACCTAGTGTCATGTTTGATAAGTTGTGTTTATTTCAAAGATTTTCTATTAACTTTTTGCGTCTCACAACGTAAAAGGTATCAGTAGGTGAGACATTTAGATAACATAACACTGCCATTTACTGGGTTTGTTATAGGGAATCATGCATTTCTACTAGTCCTCCAGGCTTTAGTGACAAAGAATTGAGTAACTTAGAGGAAAAGCTATCAGTTTAAATCTATCCACCTGAAACAAACCCCTGGGGCTAGGGGCTAGATGTGTGACAAGCTGACCTGTGTAATGTTTGTCCACAAAAATGTTTTACTAGCTAAGAACAGTGACTTGCCAGGCATTTATAACCTTTCAAAAGAGGTTTGAAGAATTTTTTATTTTCCTTTTTTTTTTCAGGAAAATACAGTTCTATATAACAAACTGTTTAGTTCTTATTGATTTGTTTATCTAAGTGGTTAAGTATTTATTATATTAATATTAAATAAAGTAATAATAAAAACATATAAATAAAAAACAAATAAATAAAAGTCATATTAAACAAAAAACATGATTTTACATAAAAACTCCAGACTTTTGAAAAGAATCCTAGGAATCCTAGGAAGAGATCTAGAGAAAAGAGAAACATGAGGATAGGTATTCCAATCAATGATTTAGCTTTTCCAGTTATCACACATGTATGAATTACCTTATTATTAATTATATTATTTATCAGTAATAATATTTATTATCAATTAAAAACTATTTATTTATTAAATAATAATATTTATCATTAATGTCCCTGATTATTGGATAATGGTACTACCAGTGACAATTGTGTTTTATGTGTTTTATAAAGTGTTATTTTTATTAAATTGTAAAGATTCATAATTTTATAAAAATGTTTTGTGTATTAATATAGTAGATGGGATGATACTGTGAAAAATCCATCCTCATTTACAATTCTATTGACTCTGATTGTTAAAATCAATTTAAAAAATGTATAGTAATGTAAAATGTTCATGTTTGTTAAACCTGAAGAACAGAGGCTCAGGCCATATTGTAGGGTGGGTGGCTTAGGGAAAGTAAGGCTGGGGGCAGAAAAGCTTGATGTTGTTGGATGTCCTCCAGCTAGGAAATGAGGTGGACTCTGGCTGACTTCATGCAGCTTCTAATGCACACTTTGAAAAGCTCACAGTGTGTAGTGAAATCAGTGTGATTTCATTAAAGCAGAGGAGCCTGTAGAACTGTCAAAAACTGATGGTAAGGCTTTAAAATATGACCTACATTTGTAGTTTGCTTCCCTTGATATCTGGGTAAGCAGGAGTACTGCTTATGCTACATTTCAAAATGACATTTCAAAGTGGTTTCACCAATCCCGCAACTCTCTGTCAGCTTATGCTATACATTTAAAGTTGACTTTAAAGTGTTAGTTTTGTTTCCTAATTTGGAACTTTGTAGAGTGACATTCGCATACAAAGAAAAGAACCTTTCATGATTATGAAAGTCAAGATCATATATTGTGTTTAGTGTCCTGGTGCTTCAGGACTTTAATGGAATATGCAAAAGTAAAAGTTGAAGATAACTATATCTAAATACAGTATTACATATGTTGTCATTTTGGTGTTGATGGAATAAATCAGGTACGAGCTCTAAAGAGCATTCAGTCATAATACCCTAAAAGGATATGTTTGAGAAGATGTATTTTTCCTACATGAAACAAATGCATTTTCTATAAGGTGTCATAAAGTTCATTTTTCAGCAAATGGTGTTACAGTTGTAATCAAGCCATAGCAGAAGTTAAAATGCATTGCCCTGGGGGAACATATACTTTCAAATGGCATACAAGGCAGTGACATAAGAATTTTGTAAAACGTTTTGTGTTTGTACTGTAAATTGCATTTTTTGACTTCAGCAGTTGTGATTTGGGCATTATTAGATTTTCAGTACTTTTAAACTAAAAGCCTTCAGGGCTTCCCCAAGTCACACCATTCATGCCACATACAATACTTCTACTCCACCATACACCTACACAAAAGCAGGATACAATATACAGCAACTCAACCTCAATTAAAATTAATCTCGTTGTGATGCCATTTACAAAAAACTCTCAGCTTTGACACATGCAATTAGGTGAACATGATTGCTAAGCACTACCATGTACAGGATTTAATCAGAAAACATACAGTAACTTCAACAGTTTTTTAATTTCATCTCTTACTATGCCTTTATGTTCTTTGCTGTTCAATTAATTGGATACACTAGTTTTTACTTCCCATGAGACCAGGCAGAGCAGGAGTAGTATTTGTGTTACATTAAAAAAATGACATTATAAAGTGGCTGATCTACAGCTTCTGGTTTAAATGACAAAGTCATACTACATTAGTTTTTGTGCTTACAAAATGTTAAAAATAATTTCTTTTGTAGTGTATGTGTTGGCGGTGAAATAAGACAAGTGTGAATTAATGATTTTACTAGATGTAATGCTATTACTACATGGCCTTTTATAAGCAGATTTAATATATTGTACAGCTTTCTGTTGAAAAAGCAAAGAATGGTAAAGGTTAGATTCTTTCAATGTATTTTTAATAAACTTTGACTGCTGTGATTGTAGATATTTTGAGGACCTGTCTGTTCTCTTTTACCAGAGTATTTTAACAATGTGTTAGAAAATAGGGTTAACATTCAAATTCTAACACTGTATGCATAGTTCCACTTTTAAATGTAACACCCTGCTGTAGTGTCAGCTGCAGGATGTTAAAACCAACACAAGATGGCAGTGTCCTGCATATCAGTGGCACTCATGGACCTTGCATGCAGAACTGCAGGACTTTGCTGGGGAGCAGAGTATCAAAGGACTACTTTTCCCAGAAGAGCTGGCATCTGGTGGGGGCAGGTATATACCAAAGCCCGGAAGACTGGACAGGAAGTGAGAGGGGAGAGCTGAAGAGAAGAAGCAGAGAGAGAGTTGTGCTGACTGCCAGAGAACCGGACCAGGGCACAGAGCTAGAGAGAGGAGAGGCAGTAAGGAGTCGCTGACCACTATCTTTGCCACCCTGTTCAGCGATAGAGTCTGCCAGCAGGTGTCCCGGAGTACAGTGACCAGATGGAATGCTGCAAGTGAGACTGGAGAACCTGTGGGGGTCCCCATCTGCTGACACAGCCAGGACCAGCTAGAAGCCACCAATCAGGTGAGAGAGTCCCATACACACAGTTAAGCAAGAGAACACTGACATTCTCCTCATACCTGCTACTTTACCTGCACACAATAGTGGACAGTGCATTCAGTTAGCACAATTTGCGGCCTAGTTTCCATAGCCGTTACTGTTGAATACATTTGCAACACAGTCCAATCATCAGAGCTGACCTCAGTGCATGCATTCTGCAGGCCAGATAACTTCAGTGCTCCTTTAACCATTGACCTACCCTTCTAAAGGAACTTCTACCACCATTGCCATTAGTTACTGCAGCCCAGAGTGGAGTTGTCCTCTGCCAACAAGCCTTATTGCCAGTTTTACACCTTATTTGCCCAAAGCTGCCCTTTTCTCAGTTCATTAAAGGGGACAACAACTTTAATGAAGTACCACTTAAAGGGAAAGTACTTATCCTTTTTTCTTCCTCCCCCTGTGTTAATCCTGTAAGGAACTGTCACCTACAGCACTTCCTACTTGTGCACCAACTGAGCCCCAGCGAGTGAGCAAAAGAATCCTCACTGCATTTAAAGGGACATTGACTACTCTGGTCAAAGAGCTCTTTTATATCAGATTTAAGCCATGCCATCAGATTCTGAGGGTCCAAAGTGAGCTAGTTCTCTTGTTGCTAGTTTTCATTGCTCACTGGAGTTGACACCACTCAGGTTGAAGGTATTGGTTTAATTTCTGAAAATCAGGCCTGCTAAGACTGATTGAGATTCTTCATTGCTTTTGAGTTGTTAAAAGTAATAATTCCTATTCCAAGTACCATTATCATTTTGTACTGCTTAACCAAACCTACATTGAAGTTTAATATAAACCTTATATCTATGATCAGACATAGAATGATCAAGCAGGGCAGTCAGATGCAGTGCCAAATGGTTAGAGCGTGTATAAACCCAAAAACAAAACATTCCTGTAGACCTTGGATGGCAGCGGCATACCCAGAGATTACTGATGGGCTTTTAAACCACTTCATCATTGTGAGTTTTTTTTATTATTTGTGGCTTAGTAAACTGTACAATACTGCACTTAGAAGGCGCCTCTCTCCTTTTTTTCTCTCCACATATTATACCAGTCCTTAGATGTAGTGGCTGCATTACCTTTTTTAAGGCCTTTTCCCTTATTTTCACTTAGTCATCCAGTAAATAACACGTTTTGTCCCATGACTATACATACAGTATTTCTCTATTGTATCTATGAAAGGAGTCATGGATGTCACACAGATTGGCCTTTAAACATCTCTGCCTTTGTTCATCTCCATAACATATAGTTATATAAAGTACCGTATTTTTCGCTCCATAAGACGCACTTTTTTCCCCCCCAAAAAAGGGGGGAAAATGCCGGTGCGTCTTATGGAGCGAATATGGAGCGGCCGGTCCGGTATTTCCACCGCCGCCATGTCAGAATACCGGGCCGGCCACTCAGCTCTGCAGTGGGACCTTACCTGTTCCTCTATCCAGTGGCGCTGTCTTCCCGGCTTCTGTAGTGTGCGTGACAGCCGGGTACGAAGTGCGCATGCGCAAGAAGCGGTGCTCTTTGTGAATGGTAAGGCGGTACCTGGGACACATGACAGATCCCAGAAGCCGCCGGACCAATCACAAAGCGCAGCACTTCTCGCTCATGCACACTGGGCATCCCGGCTGTCCGCCGAGCACCCACACTAACAGGTAAGATCAAAGGACAACTCCGCAGAAGTAAGAGCGGGTACCTGTCAAATTCAGGTACCCCCCCCTCCCCAAAGGTCAGCAGTCATCTCCTGTACTGTCTGCAGTCTCTGGTCATCTCCTGTACTATGTCTGCAGTCTCTGGTCATCTCCTGTACTGTCCGCAGTCTCTGGTCATCCCCTGTACTATGTCTGCAGTCTCTGGTCATCTCCTGTACTGTGTCCGCAGTCTCTGGTCATCTCCTGTACTGTGTCCGCAGTCTCTGGTCATCTCCTGTACTATGTCCGCAGTCTCTGGTCACCTCCTGTACTATGTCTGCAGTCTCTGGTCATCTCCTATACTATGTCCGCAGTCTCTGGTCATCCCTGTACTGTCCGCAGTTTCTGGTCATCTCCTGTACTGTCCGCAGTCTCTGGTCATCCCTGTACTGTCCGCAGTCTCTGATCATCTCCTGTAGTATGTCTGCAGTCTCTGGTCATCTCCTGTACTATGACCGCAGTCTCTGGTCATCTCCTGTACTATGTCTGCAGTCCATTCGTTCAGAATTTTTTTTTTCCTGTTTTCTGCCTCTAAAACCTAGGTGCATCTTATGGTCAGGTATGTCTTATGGAGCGAAAAATACGGTAAATAGTTAGTCACGTTGAAAAAAGACACAGTTCAACCTAAAACAAACAAAAAGAAAAACTCTATATACACAATCCTACACCTAGTTTATCCAGAGGTAGGCAAAACCCCCAATAAAGCCTGATCCAAGTTGCTCCAGTAGGGGGAAAGAAGATTCCTTCCTGATTCCCCAGAAGGCAATTGGATATTCCATGATTCAACTACCCTGTACCTATAAATGTTAGCATCCAGTTTTATTTTGTGCTTTTTTTCTGGATTTCATAATAAAGTTGGCAGCGCCTCCACCCAGGATAGGGCCTCTGTAAACAAAAGGGTTCCCTTCCTGGGAAATGAACCAATGACCTAATAAAAGTAAATGGGCACAGAGGTAACACTGCAGCCAAGATTTAACATTAACCATAAGTATACAAATGTACACTAGTATGGAAATAATACAAGCTTTATATATTAAAAGATTAATAATAGTACACACATTCAATGTACAAATAGGTAATATAAGCAAAGGGCCCAACATTAATATACCCAGGTATATATAGTTAAAAAAAAGGTACCTCCAGGTGAGCGTGGTATCAAAGTTCAGTTGCAGGGCCCCCCAAGGATGATCGCTATGCAGTGTCCATCTTTGTGTCAGAGACCTGAAAACAAGATCAACAGTGATGGGGAGATCCTACCACCATTGTCCAACCAGCCTGGAAACAAATTCTCATCAGCAGAAACCATGGTATGGGACTTGAACTTACAGTCAGCCTATCTACTCTGCATCTAAGTCCCTAGTAGTTTTTAATCTGTCATGCAACTAGACCTCTAACTACCAGAAGTGTCTGTTGGATGCTAGCCTGGCTCTAGCCTATGCTGGTTATTGAGCCCTGAGTTAAACTAGCTAGATAATCCCAGACCAGAAGGGACAAGGTTATCTAGAATATCAAGATTGGTATATAAACTCTATTGCAATAAACAGATTTACCTACTAACATACAGCCAGGTGACTACTACACATGCACACCCTATCATGAACTCTATCTAGTACAGGTGAAACTCAAAAAATTAGAATATTGTGCAAAAGTTCATTTATTTCAGTAATGCAACTTAAAAGGTGAAACTAATATATGAGATAGACTCATTACATGCAAAGAAAGATAGTTCAAGCTGTGTTTTGTCATAATTGTGATGATTATGGCTTACAGCTCATGAAAACCCCAAATCCACAATCTCATAAAATTAGAATATTGTGAAAAGGTGTAATATTCTAGGCTCAAAGTGTCCCACTCTAATCAGCTAATTAAGCCATAACACCTGCAAAGGGTTCCTGAGCCTTTAAATGGTCTCTCAGTCTGGTTCAGTAGGAATCACAATCATGGGAAAGACTGCTGACCTGACAGTTGTGCAGAAAACCATCATTGACACTCTTCATAAGGAGGGAAAGCCTCAAAAGGTAATTGCAAAAGAAGTTGGATGTTCACAAAGTGCTGTATCAAAGCACATGAATAGAAAGTTATGTGGAAGGGAAAAGTGTGAAAGAAAAAGGTGCACAAGCAGCAGGGATGACCCCAGCCTGGAGAGGATTGTCAGGAAAAGGCCATTCAAAAGTGTTGGTGACTTTCACAAGGAGTGGACTGAGGCTGGAGTGAGTGCATCAAGAGCCACCACACACAGATGGATCCTAGACATGGGCTTAAAATGTCGTATTCCTCTTGTCAAGCTGCTCCTGAACAACAAACAACGTCAGAAGCGTCTTACCTGGGCTAAAGAAAAACAGATCTGGTCTGTTGCTCAGTAGTCCAAAGTTCTCTTTTCTGATGAGAGCAACTTTTGCATCTCATTTGGAAACCAAGGACCCAGAGTATGGAGGAAGAATGGAGAGGCACACACTGCAAGATGCTTGAAGTCCAGTGTGAAGTTTCCACAGTCTGTGTTGATTTGGGGAGCCATGTCATCTGCTGGTGTTAGTCCACTGTGCTTCATTAAGTCCAGGGTCAACGCAACCATCTACCAGGAGATTTTGGAGCACTTCATGCTTCCTTCTGCAGACGGGCTTTATGGGGATGCTGACTTCATTTTCCAGCAGGACTTGCCCTGCCCACACTGTCAAAAGCACCAAAACCTGGTTCAATGACCGTGGGATTACTGTGCTTGATTGGTCAGCAAACTCGCCTGACCTGAACCCCATAGAGAATCTATGGGGCATTGCTAAGAGAAAGATGAGAGACATGAGACCGAACAATGCAGAAGAGCTGAAGGCTGCTATTGAAGCATATCCTGGTCTTCCATAACACCTCAGCAGTGCCACAGGCTGATAGCTTCCATGCCACGCCGCATTGAGGCAGTAATTGCTGTAAAAGGGGCCCAAACCAAGTACTGAGTACATATGCATGCTTATACTTTTCAGAGGTCCGATATTGTTCTATGTACAATCCTTGTTTTATTGATTGCATGTAATATTCTAATTTTCTGAGATTGTGGATTTGGGGTTTTCATGAGCTGTAAGACATAATCATCACATTTATGACAAATCACGGCTTGAACTATCTTGCTTTGCATGTAATGAGTCTATCTCATATATTAGTTTCACCTTTTAAGTTGGATTACTGAAATAAATGAACTTTTGCACAATATTCTAATTTTTAGAGTTTCACCTTTATAGTGCATGTGACAACAACAGGGCAGATATACTGCCACCAGTCTTTAAATATATACATGTATACACCCAGAATCTATGGGCACAATAGTAAACTAGTAAACATAAGAACACTTGCCTAATATTCTCTGGATCTAGCCTGGGTTAGTAGCAGATCTTCAATAACAGACATGTGGTATCAGAATCTCTCTATTTACTTCCTCTCTCTAGGTTTTCTAACATGGACACCCAGAGACAGGAAGTGATGTGCATAAAGAATTAAGCAGCACAGCCACTTGCAGACCGTAAAAGGCAGAAGATCCCTAGAATGTTTTTTTTTTCTAATGGTAACATTATTGTACATAAAGCATGTAAGTACAAAAATGTAGCGCAAAGACCGATCATATAAACAAACAAAAATATACATAAAATGTCCATCTGGTACATTGCTATCAAGTGTTGAAGGAACAGCAAGTATACAGAAAAGAGAAAAAAATGAAACAGCAGCTGAACACAGTAGATGCAGGTTACAAATAATCTGGGAATAAAACAGAAGAAGGATATATGCCATGGTCCTTAAGGTACTATCTGATAAACAATACTATTGTCATGCCTACGGGGCATCATGAATATTGATGAGTAGACCATAACTCCAAGCAATACACTAAGAGTCCCAGATCTTATGAAATTTCATAGGACAACCTCTTGCCTCATATATCAATTTATATAAGGGTAGTGCCTGATTACTTAAATGGAGCAAAGATACCACGGTAGGATGAGCATGTGATCTCCATGGAACAGTTAGGGAGAGAATCATCAATATAGCAGAATAGGCATCATAAGGGATTACAAATATTGGACAACTGAGTAAGTGAACCTATAAAAGCAGTGGTCTCAGACCAGAATGCTCTCATAGGTGGACACTCCCAAACCATGTGATAGAACGTACCATCCGGAGAGAAACATTTAAAGCAGACAGCAGAGGGCAATCTATTTAAATGAAAAAGGAGGCGAGGAGTGTAGTAGGACCTGTTAAAAAAAATTAGTTTGAGTGACCTTCTCCCTTTAGGAGAAAACAGTGGGAACCTGTAGGGGGAGGATTTCTTGCCATATTTCCTCTGAGCTCTGGGATATCTGAACACCATCTAGACTCAGTGACATTAAGCCTGTTGGTTTTAGAGTGAAGCAGAGAAGAGTAATACATCAAAATATGTTCAGAATGAGAAGGATCGCATAGAAGAGGTTCCAAAGGGGAGGACTGTAGAGCTACATTACTTAGGCCAAATTGGGCTGCAGCTGTATGTCACAACTGTAAATAACGCAAATAGGCTGTAGAAGGAACATTATAATCCCAACAAAAGTCCGAAAAGGAATGAAAAGTACCTAAAGAAAATAAGTGGGAAATCAATTTCACACTGTGTTTGAACCAAAACGCTCCATCAGCCCGACGAAAAAATTCTTGTAGGCATGGATTATGCCATAAAGGAGCATTAAGGGAGAGTACATTATTTGTACCAGAGGAAGTACGTTTGAAATTTTGAAAACACGCAGTGCCATGGAAAAAACAATCTCTCCCTGCCCATAATTAATTGACAGTGTATTAGATTTTGAAGGGATTCGTAGGAAGTAAGAATAGCGGATACCTGTAAGAGGAAGGTGACCAATGCTTACCAGGAGGGGCATATCTGACCATTCTATTATGGCCCTAATTATCTCCTGTGGACCACAGTATTAACATTAATAATATTTGAACACCATATACAAAGGGAGCGGACTTTGGGTCTCTATATAATAAAGAACATTTTCTACATTATGTGTATGGCTGTAAGAAGGAGGATAAAAATGTATTGCTTGTGGGCAGCACAGTGGCTAAATGATTAGCACTTCCGCCTGGCAGTACTCGGGTCGTTGGTTTGAATCCCAGCCACGGCACCACCTGCCTGGAGTTTGCATGTTCTCCCTGTGCCTGCGTGGGTTTCCTCCAGGTACTCTGGTTTCCTCCCACACTCCAAAGATATGCTGGTAGGTTAATTGGATCATCTCTAAATTGGCCCTAGTATGTGTATGTATAAATGTAAGTTAGGGACTTTAGATTGTACACCTTTGAGGGTTAGGGACTGATGTGAATGTACAATATATATGTAAAGTGTTGCGTAAATTGGCAGCGCTATTTAAGTACCTGAAATAAAATAATAAAATACTTGATTGTCTTCTATGAGGGGAAGCAGTCATTAGTTTGCAACCATATATGGACCATAGTATCTCGCCTAGATCACAG